CCTTTCAGGCCTGCCTTGACACTGGGACTGCACGTGCAGAACATCACACATGCTTAAACTGTGAGACTCAGTATATTGGGAAAAACGAATCCTTCCACATTCAGCTTATTTCCTAGTAAACACCTCCATGAAAAACAACCACTACGTACACGCTTCATAATTTGCTTTGCAGCTTTACGTTTGAGTACTTTATAACCAGCATTCAAATTGGTATTTTTTAAAAAATTACCTTCTGTATTCTTTCAAATAGATGACCACAGCCTATTTTACCCTCTCTGTAATGCTAAAGTCATAAGTTTGCCTCAGTTGCTGCAAACCAAACGAAATGGAAAATTCTAGCTTAACTGACAATAAAGCATAAAAATTCAATACACAAAACTATAAAGGAATGTATTACTATATGCCTGCTCTAAATTGTGGGATAAAGAAATCTAATGCTTTTTCAGAGATTTCATTAACCTGGTCAAATATGATTTTGCCCCATACATAAATGATTTTCTAATTTCATTCTGCTTTTCTCAAACCTAGTACTGAGTTATCAATTTTATCTAATGGACTATATTCCTAAATATTACCCAAGCACATCCTAAAGCCAAGAACTGAAGCTATAATATTATTTTTCTTAATAGCAGCAGTTGAGAGCTGAATTATTTTTTTTTTTGAGAGGAGACCACTTCTTTAGAAGTCTTCCCTGGGGAGATTTTAAACTAGATTAGCCTGCGGATTCTTCTCCAAAAAATCTGTTCTACATATTAAAATAAAACACACCATTCATCTTAATTTATTCTTTTATCAAAACAGAACAGACAGCAACACTGCGCTGGAAGCACTCTGTGGGGACACTGGTACAGCCACATACTCTGGAGCACGGTGCACGATGGAGGGCAAGCTTCACCTAGACATCTCGAGCTACCTGAAATACCCACTTTCTACTGAAAGTGGTTAAGTTCTAAAGGGAGGTATTTTTAATGATTTGCATTATTGAGTTATGGCCTCAAGAAAAAAAAAAAAAAAAAAAAAGAGATACTTATGAATCAAGCAATTCATTGGCGAGATCTATCCTTCCAAGTGAGGCATGCAAGACTGCAATAAAGCACTCGGGAAATCTATTAAAATGTCTGAACTATACCCAGTTTACAAGATTAACAAAATGAAACAAAAGAGAAACATCATTATGTAAAAGTTTTCTAAACCAAACAGTAGAGGTCACCTCTAAAACCAAATATATCCTTTAAAGTGATTTTCTGAGTTTGTTAGAAAAATCCATCTTTCACATCAAGCTTTAGAAACTCCCATATTTCAAATTATGTCTCGAATTTCAAGCAAATATTTTCAATATTTGATTATTCCTTAAGACTGAGCAGTGTATTGTTATAGGTACCCTCTGGTTTCACAATACTTTAGCTTCAAGCACATTGTAACTCCTTTCACTGAACTCTTGGCTCTTTTGCAAAGTGCTGTGTTCCCAGGCCTTACATCAAATCTATCTGCGACAAATAAAAAATATTAAAACCTCTCCATATTTCACTACAATTCCTCTCAATACTCAATTAAAGTTCATTTGAGTTAAAAGATATTCAAAACCCACTTTTCTCTAATTACAGATACGGCTTCCTTACAGTCATTTATAACGTTACAGATCAGACTTTGCCTCATTTGAGCAAACGTTTTCAATTAACTTTTCGCCATTCGACTAATTTGTAAATCTTGCCTGTGCCACTCACTAATCTTGTAAAAGGTAAAAGCAGCAGAAGTATTTAGCTCAGTAAAACTTACACAGATGTACAGAAAAGACTTTATAAAATAAATTCACCATAAATTCTACCAAAAAAACCAATTGTATCACAAAAGGATGACAAGACCGATCCTTTTGGGTGGACAAAACCACAAAACCTAAACATGCTGCTCTGCTGAAAGGGTCCATCTAAATAACCTGACACAGTGATTAAAAAAAAGCACTGTCTTGGCATGTCTATAATACATTTTACATATATATATATGTATGTCAATTATGAGTACATATAAGAGTAGGGAACATGTCAATATGTTTTAGACAAAAGCTAATAACTGAAGACATTCTAACTTCAATCACATTTTTTGGGGTAGAAAACTAGTCACTAAGGCAAACTTCAGCCAATTAATGAACTATTGTAAGTCACCAGAACGAAATGTACTTTTTCCAGGAAAAATTTTAAATCCTCTCAGACAATTATTTAAAAATTTTAAGCCACATAAACAGCAGGTTAGGTAAAGACACTGCACATATAACAAATAATCCCCCAGCCACCCAATGCCACACACAAGCACCTAAAAGGGAGATTTAAAAAAAGGAATCTCCATTAGTCAAAAAGTAATAACTAATTAAACAATGTAGGGGGTTTTAAATTCCAGATTCCTTACTAAATACTCCGCTGCATTCTTTGAAATGAGAAATAATTGCTTATCTTCCTCTAGTTGTTACTCAACGTGAGAGAGCCACATAAATTTTAGAAAAAACTATAATATGAAAAAGCAGTCATGGAACCAGCTCTGTTTGAGGTAACGCAGAGCAGAAGCTAAAGGCCCATCCAGACCATTCCTTCAACCTGCAGCTTCAGCAGTTGTGCATTTCCATTTAACTTAGTGATCGACTTTCACATGCAGAAAAACCTACTCTGCAACATCCCCAACAAACCTCCCTTTTCCTAGTTGCAGATGGGTAAGAATGGGTGAAAATAAAATCCAGTAACTACAAAACATTTGCTGAGTGAAGAGCAAAGATGACAGAAGAGACCACCAGTTTTCTGAGAAAGTTCTGGCTTTAATAACAGAGAGTGCCAAAGAAAATGAATATTGAAAAAAATTTGTCCTCCCTCCCAAACATCTCTTGCTTACAAGGAGCCCTACCGACTTGCATCTACAATAACACGATTTCTCCTGTGACAAAGGACTCCTGCATGATGGTACAGGCAGGAGAATGAAGTTGTTCAGGCAGAAGGTCACTCCTCTTTGTGACAAAACACGAGAAAAAGAGATTCCGAAGCCATCTCTGACGTAGCAATGCCCGGTGGATCACACCCCTACACAGCTTTGGCTGCGCAGCAGAAAGCCTGTCTGGTAGCTGGCATCTTATTACAGTCCATGAATTTACTCCCATCAAAAGAAATACAGTTTTAAGAACCAAAAAATAACACTAAAAAAAAAAATCAAATTTACTACATAACCTAACTTTGATAAAATTGCAGCTATTTATAGGCGCTATCTGAAGAAAAGGAAGTTTTAAATTAATAATCTCTTTTAAAACCTAACATGGAAAATAAGACAGAAGATTTAAGAAAATATTTTTTCAGAGAATTATGGAGAAAGGATTAGAACATAAAAATCTCTTTCTCCCATGCAGGATTACTATGCTGTTTCCAAGCCTAATTAGGAGGATGGTTTACAACAGAATTGGTGGGGGTTTGGCATGTACTACGCTTATTTTTGGCCCATCTAAATTACCACTAAAATCTTTGCGTGTAGTTAAACAAGCCATACCACTAATTTTATACCATATTCCTTAGTTGCAACTTAAATATTTTCTCATCTTATCCTTTATGTCCTCAAATGCGGCATTTAACACATCTAGAAAAAGCCTGAGGAGGAGAAGCAACTCCCTGCCTTTGTCGCAGGGAAGCACAGCGTGCCTCATTCCCAGGATTCCTTCCCACGACAAAACGGTCTTCCTGCAGCTTTTATTTCTTGCAAACATCAGGGTTGAAGAAAGCCCTTTACCTTCTCGGGGGCAGTTAAAACTCAGCAGAACTGTATCAGCGATCGCCGCCACCCCCCCCGCCTCCTCCCCACTCCCCGTACGGAGCAGGACCTCTGAGTTCCTGCAGTAGCTCCTCCACGTATGAGAGTCCCACTGATTAGTTATTGGTGAGGTCATACAGGCATTCTGCCTCCAATTTGGGAATAAAAATACAATCTGGCACACAACCCTTGAAACTGTCAGTCAGTCATACGCTGAAGTTGATCCTAAAATCAGCTCTTCTGGGTACAGAACATCTGTACTGGGACACGGCCTGATCCTAAAGCTCTGTGCTGCGTGCGTGTATCATCGATTCTGACTTTCCTCATAACACTGATTCCTTGAAATAAATTAAAAGGTGTATTTTGGAATAATCCTTCCAATTTAAAAAAAAAACTTTCTATCTGAGCTAAGGAGGATATCTTGTCCAGAAAAAAATTTAGTTAAGCGTACAGACCTAAATACAACATTATTTTTTTATCAAAACTTCTTAGGAGATTGTTTTAATGAAAGCTCAGTAGATTCAATTAAAATCCACTTTCTGGTTGCTAAGCTCCATTGTTCTTCTTTCAAGAACTGTGAGCAGTTTCTACAGCTTCGCAGAGGGGCCTCAATGCCAGCTATAAAGTCAAAAGCAGCAGAAGTTGTGGTCAACAGGAGCCATTCAGTGGCAGCTATTCTACACTTTAATTAGATTTCTGCACCTACTAAAACACCATTCAAAAGATTTTCTCTTTTTTTCACTTCTGTTTCAGATAAGAAACGTGATTATCAAACCCCTTCGTGATCTGCATTAATGGAGGTAGCACTAATACATTTTTAAAAACATAAATTCCTCATAATCCACGTATCAGCTCATAATATTGTTAATGATGCTAATTTAATTACTTTTAGGATGCTCCTGTAGCTTTAATAGCATTAAATTGCTGGTTTGTTTATCTTTCTGACCTGCTCTAAAACACTGACAATTCACCCTGACAAGAGAAAATTAATTCTCGTGTGTTAGAAAAACAGATTATCTCGGTTATTTACATCTTAATCCCCAGTGTAAATGTGTTTGGCAGGTCAATAAGTGAATCAAGTCAGTATTTCCGACATAATGTTTCCCCTAAATAAGTTCTCGTTTGTTTGTGGTTTTTATAAAGCACATTTTCTTCGTTATAATCACGATGACAAAGTGATGAAGATGGAACTTTAATTCCTCATAAGGTCCGAGCATCAAACCTACCTGACTAGATTTTCATTGTCTCCAGTCCCTTTGCAGGTAGCACATTCAGTCCTTAAATCCTCCGATTTGGGCTTCTTTTGTAGAACGGACTGTCGTTGTCTTCTTTCTCTGGGAATCCGTTCCTGTCATAGCAGAAGGCAAAAGAAAGGAATGGGGAAGAAAGGAGGGAAGGAAAGCAAATATTCTCAATTATAGCACTGAAAGTAACACTTCAGCCCAAAGTTTAATTTTTTTTGTGAAACCGTTAAAAAAAAAACAAAACAAAAACAAAACACTATATTCCAACCTCAGGTTTTTCTTCTTCAGGCACAAAGCTTCGTTTTCGTCCTCTAGTTCTCTAGAAGAAAATATATTTAAAATTCAATATTAGGTAACAGAATGGTTTTGCTATTTATCTATTATTCATAACAACAACTGAAACACCGCAGGAAATAATTTAAAGCATTAACTACAGAATCACTGCAAGACAACCACAGTAGGGTCTGCGACATGTTGGAACGACAGCTTCAGATTCTGGATATAAATCTACGGAACTAGCCAAAAAGTAAATCTAAATACATTTGTTGACCTGAGCGTGTGGAGCCTTATTCCAAACGAGACTGCCGCCAGAATTACAAACCTCACAGACTTTGCACAACTTCCCAATGCTAAAATGCATTATTGGAAAACGGATACCAACAGCATCTTACAGTAAATTCCTTGAGCACTTACAAGCGCTCTGTTTGTAAGCCAAGTGATCGGATTCAAAAAAATTCAAAATTAAAAAGCTTCATCAAAACAGAAACAGAAAATAATTCTTAGAGCTTTGGGGAGTAAGCAAGAATTGAAGCTTTCAAACTGAGGCTTAGTGTAACGGGTACATGGCAGCTGCTCATCAAGCTGTGGCATATACCAACAGGTAACTGGGACACCACAGACAGAATGGGTCCTAGAAAAAGTGGAAATTATTTCAGTACTGCAGTTGGCCAAAGAACTAGATTTCTTAGATTAGATTCTTAGATACCAGCAGCGTGGAGGAAAAGAGGTTTCCATGGGCTGCAACAGCCAACACCGAAGTCGACAAGCCGCTCGAAGGAACTACACGCCACTCGGCCGTGAGCCCAGCTTCGGCCACTGCGGTTTTCATCTCCGAAACAGCAGCATTATAACCCGCACGTGTTCAGTAACCGCCACAAGCTGACAACATCACACGCTCCCCTCCGTGTTCAAAAAGGGAAGAAAATTAGAAGGGATGCCAAAGGAAATGAAAAACATCAAGGGACTATTCCACTGACCCACAACGTCTGATACCTTGACACCAATAAAATAAAATAAATAAATAAACAAACCAACCAACCAACTTTAAAATGCTTGTTTTTCTGGGAGGAAATCATCGCCTTAGGAAGTCATTTGTCATATGACAAAAACACCCACTGCCTACATTATGATTTCTTAAAACTTTTTTGAAGCTGCTAGTGTTCTTCTCGGAAAAGTAAATCCAGCTGATCAAAAAAAAAAAAATCTTAAGCCAGTTTAGAATCACAAGCAGCCATAAACACAATTCCGAGGAAGCTAGTAGCATCACGTTTCTCCTGTTTGGGGTCCTCTTTGAAGGGGGTTTATACAAGTTTCAAATTAAGCCTATTTGCTACTTGAAACAGTTCTGCACGTTTAAACATAGTGATACTGTGAAGAAACCTGCCGCTTCCACACAGCTACACTTTTCTACCTACGCAGATTGTAACCTGTGCATGTTAATACCACACTGTTTGGGAAGGTTTCTTTGGTTTTAGGCAAGAGTTAACTCTGTAGTAGAAAGGAATTAGTAGAACGGAAAACACGAGTCTATTTTGTGCCTCTCTAGAATACTGTAATTACCGCTGAGATTCTCACATTTCCCTAAAGATGATTTATAAAAGTCACTAAAACTTTATCTATTAAATACATATCAGTATTTACTATACACTTAATAATACACTCAGAATTGAGGCGTTCTGCCTTCCACAAGCCACACAGTAGACACCCAAGTGTCCAAAGCTAGAAGCAGCGATTTACGACGGGTAACTGACTTTATCAGCGCAGTGTCAGAGCTATCGATGTAACACGGACTACACGGCCACTGCATGTTACACAACCCAAGGTCACTGTAAACTAAAACCAGAGAAAAAAAGAGGTTGATCAGCCGTGAGCCCACTAACTGCCCATTTTACTCCTTTCAACCGCTGGCATCGGCCCTGTCCTGGGTTACAGTGTAAAATGTGC